GCCTCCGCAGCACTGAACTGATAGGTTAAGTCATGAGAACGAATGACTTCCTTTCCTCCAGCTGTCAGAGATCCTGCGGTCTGAAATCTGGCCACCAACACCCTGTCAGGAAATTAATTATCCTGCCACCGTCAACCCTCAATCCCATGTCCCAGAGGGCTCCAGGGGAAGAGAGGATCTCACACATTTGAGAGAGTTCAGAGTTGGTCTCGCCGCCAACCCACAGAGCATACTGGGCTAGAAATTACCTTTACAAGACATCTTTATCCCAGGACTGGAGAAGGATTTTCCTTCGAGGAAGAAAGGCTACAGAATATTTACGTCTCCCACTTTGAGTTTCAAGGCCATCGTGCTGAGAACTGGGGCAGGGAAGATAGGAAACAATTTCTCCTTGCAAAGCTAGGGCCCTAGGCCAACATCTGCTGCTGGGTCACAGCCCACACAAGCTCAGTCCCAAGCCCGGTAATGCTTGGCTCTGAGGAATGAGGAAGCCCAGGGGATTGTTAGAGGCCCATGAAAAATAGCAACACATACTGAGGAGCTGATTAAAGAAGGAAAGCTGCTTTTCCAACCTAAAGGGTATTACTCTCTTCGGTCAAATGAGGTTGCTTTAACCCATGGGTGGCACAAGCGGTTAAGCACTCACCTACTGGCTGAAAGGCTGGCAGTTTGAGCCCACTCAGAGGCACCTCGGAACGCAGGCCTGGTGGTCTGTTTTGGAAAGTTCACAGCCTTGAAAACCCTATGGAGCACAGTTCTACTCTGCACATTTGGGGTCACCACGAGTCGGAATCAACTCGACAGCACCTGACAACCACCACGCGTGTCATGTCGGAGCGTCTTTCCAGAGCAAAGCGCGAAGCATTTCCTAGTCAAAGTTGCTTTAAATAGAGATGAAAACGAGCCCATCATTTTCGGGCTTTAGAAATTGGGTTTTTGAAAAAGTTGCAATGCGCCATTTGGGTGGAAAACCACGTGGCTATCAGGCTTGTTTCTGCCAGGGGAAGGAGCCAGTGGAGAGGCAGGCGGACAGGGGAGTCATGTGGGAGGCCGAGCACCCCACCAGCTGCTTCTCCCACGCTGGGGCGGAAGCTCCAGGTTTCCAGGAGACTGCTGATAGCTGCGTGTCTGGGCAGCTCTGGACACCCAGCTCAGAGAAACCCGCCTTCACTGCAAAGGCCCCAGGGAGTCAGATTCAGTCCTCCCTCCGTAAGATATTGAAGCAGCAAAGACGATCGGCTTAAAAAGGAGGAAACGCAGGCGACAGGCAGGAGCAGCTCCCTCACAGCGCCCTTTCTCGGGCCCTGGGTCTTATCGCGTTCTTCTCCGGCCCTGTCTCCATCTCTAGTCAAAAAGGTTACTAAAATACGGACTGGCTTTTCCCCAACTACGGGCTCTTCCCACCTCTGGTTTTCCAGTTGACATCTAGTCAGTTCTGACTCATGGGGACCCCACGTGTACAGAGTAGAACTGCGCTCCATAGGGGTTTCCAGGCTGTGACCTTTCGGAAGCAGATCGCCAGGCCTTTCCTCCGCATGCCTGTGGGTGGGTTTGAGTCAAACTTTTGGCTAGTAGCCAAGTGCTTAACCATTTGCAGCAGGCAGGGACTCCTGCTCTGCCCATAAAACCAAACCCACTGTTGTCAATTCCGACTTATGGTGACCCCGTGTGTTACAGGATAGAACTGCTCCATAGGGTTTTCTTGGCTGGAATCTTTACGGAAAGGATGCCTGGTGGTGTGACGGTTAAGCAACAGGCCGCTCACTGAAAGGTTGGGGGTTCGAACCCACCCAGTGGCTCTGTGGAAGAAAAGACCTGGCAATCTGCTCCCATAAAGATGAGAGCCTAGAAAACCCTATGGGGCAGTTCTGTTCTGTCACATTGGGCCGCTGTAAGTCAAAAATTGACTCAACAGCACCTGACAACAGCAATCTTTACGGAAGCAGATTGCCAGGCCTTCCTTCCATGGTATCACTAGGTGGGTTCAAACCACCAACCTTTAGGTTAGCAGTTGAGTGCAAACTGTTTGTCCCACACAGGGACCGCCTTCTCTTCCCATTAAAAAAAAAAAAAAAAAAACCGTTGCTGTCAAGTTGATTCTGACCCATAGGGACCCTACAGGACAGAGTAGAACTGCCCCATAGTTTCCAAGGAGCGGCTGGTGGATTTGAACTGCCGACCTTTTGGTTAACAGCTGTAGCACCTAACCACTGCATCCCCAGGGCTCCTCTCTTGACCCTCTTTATCCCTGTGGCAAGCCCCTGCCCCTTTCAGCAGGAGCACAACAACGCTTGAGAAACACACCCAGAGACACCTTTTGTCCAAGGAACCTCCTAGGCCCCCGGCCTAGTCTCCCGACCGACCGTCTCCCGATCACATTGTTATTGCCACGCCGAATCTCTGCTCACCTCACCAAGCGCGAGGCCTCCCCTTCCTTTGTGACAGTGCACTCACTCCTGTCTCCATCCAGACTTGTCAGCCTGCTTGGCACCTTGGCCAACCCCGCCCTGCCTCCACCCTGTTGATCTTCTGAGAACAAGCACAGTCTAGAAATACCTGTGCCAAGCCAGACGGCAGAGGAAGAAAAGACCCGGGTGTTAGAGGACAAGCCCAGATCTGGAATGGAAGAAGGTTTCTAGTGCATTCTGAAGCCTCGGTGTGAATTAGCTGAGAAGCAGGAGGAGGAGGAAGAAAACAGGAGAAAAATCTGTACTCTTTCAACTGAAGGAGTAAGGGAAGCTAAAAAAGGAAACAGGGTCAGAGACGAGTAGGGTCGCGTTTCCAGTTTCCTGGGTCCAGAGAAGATTTCTGTCAATTCAGCTCTGCCCCAATTCAGCCCTACGGTCAATTGCATTCTTGGCAGAAAGAAAAGATCATTGGACTAATTGAGTGATGCTCAGAGACAGCCAAAAACTAAACCCTTAAAGAGCTGCAGCCGGCATTTCCAGGTTCTCTTCATTTCTGCGAAGGACGTGGACCAACTCACCTACCTACAGTGCTGATTAATACACTTACCTGCAGTCACAGACCTTGACCTCCTACCAGCTCTTTTCCAAACAAGGACACACACTGGCCAGGCTGAGGGATCCCACAGGACCACCACACCCAACAGGGTCAAAGCTAAAGTTAGGGCCCACCTCCTACAATAAGGCCTCAGACCACGGAGCTGAGCTGCTGGACAGGGGACACTCTAAGTCCCCCGAATGCCTCCAAGTACTCACATCACGGTGGTTGGGGTGTTCAGCCCACATCCCCAAGATGTGGACGACAGCATGGTCATCTTCAAGAAGTACTAAAGTTACAGGTTCTTTCATCCTCCCCCAAAAGTAAAAGGAAACCAGGCCAGGGGCTCAAAGACACACAGTGACATAATTTATTAAATTCACCACACAAAGACTATGTCACAGAAAAAATATATACACCAGAACCAAAGAGGCCCACGGAGATCGTCTGGTCCAGAACCGGAGAGGCCCACGGAGATCGTCTGGTCCAGAACTAGACAGGCCCACGGAGATCATCTGGTCCAGAACTAGACAGGTCCATGGAGATTATCTGGTCCAGAACTAGACAGGCCCACGGAGATTATCTGGTCCAGAACTAGAGAGGCCCACGGAGATCATCTGGTCCAGAACTAGACAGGTCCATGGAGATCATCTGGCCCAACTCTCTCATTTTACAAATGAGGGAACGGCCTGAAGCCCCACACTCCATTACAGACAAGACCAGAACAACAGCCCAGCTCCCATCCAGAGACACACAGACCTAAGGCTTCTGGGTTTCAGCCAAGTAGAGCCTAAAGACTTAATCCAGGTTTACTTTTAATTTTTCTATTTCCTATTTACCACTCTCTGATGCCTATCTCTGTAAGGCTGCAGGAAGACCCCAGAAGAAAACCTGGCAAGCTCGAGGGCCATTCAGAGCCAGGGAAACAGGCCGGTTACGGGGCAGAGGCGTACACAGGGGTTAAGGGGAGAACTCAGTCCTTCCTCCAGAGATCTGATTGTCTTCTTCCCCCAAACACCACACATCCAGAACCCAATACCTCAGGGAAAATATCCTTGCCTTCCTGAGGTACAGATCAGGTTTGGAGGAGGAGGAGAAAAGCAGCAGGTCGAGGAAAGAGAGATTTATAACAATGTCACTCTGAAGTCAACAAATCCAGTGGGAAGACTCTTTTCCCAGTTTCTAGGAAATCCTAACATCACAAGAGAAGGCTGTAAAACTTTGGTATTAAATCAAATTGTGAGGTGTAAGCAAAAACACCAATAACTTAGAAAAATAAATACAATTGGGGTTTTGCCAGGGCCAGTGTAACCCAGGGAAGACACAGTTTGTAGACTCTGGGTTGGAGGAGACTGGGGTGTCCCTTGTGCTGCATCTTAAGGGAAAACCTAAGAGATTCTGGGAGTCTTCACGGCAGAGAGACGTCACTAACTGTCCATGGCCCTAGAGAATCTCTCTGCTCAAAGCTACTCCCTGAATGTACACTCCGATCTCCCAAAAACAACAAGGCCGTCAAAGTCTAGTTCACTGACTCTGACCAGGCGTGACAGGCAGCCCCACTGTCCACCTGTAGGACGCCCAGCTCAGCGTGGGCTGAGGGTGGAGCGGGTAGAAAAACAGTCTGTTGCTAAGAACCCAGCTGTGTTCGCAGGAGGAACTTCATTCCCCCAGGATACTCTCCAATCACTGCGGTCATCTGTGTCTGCAGCTTTTAGGGCTGAGGCAAACCTTGTCACCTCTCCCAGCCTGACGAGGGCCTGGCTTCTGGGGCAGCTGGACTCCAATCTACAACAGAGGGGAGGCTCTGCGACAGAGAAGAATGGTGACTATGGAAACAAGGAGACCACCCTGGCTCCACTGGGTGGAGCACGGCTTCCACAGGGCTGCAGTGTCCCGGCGAGGCGCTCATCCTCCGGCTGCCCAGCACACGGGGGAGAGGCGAGGCCCCGAGCGCGGTCAGGAAACAGGGAGTCAGGAGTCAGTGCTAGCCGCCTGAAGGGGTGTGGGCTCCCCCCAGGCGAGAGGCGGCAGCAACAGCCGGCACCTGTCTGCGGCCAGTTCATGCTTCCACCACCCGGATGAGGGCCGCGGGCTTCGGGCTGGGGGGCTCGGCTATCCTAACGTGGAAAGGGAAGTTGTCAACACTGAGTGCTGTGTTGCTCCCCCGCCTTCACAGAGCCTCCCTCCACGTCTGCCCCTGGAATCCTACTTCCGTGCCGGCTGAGCTCCTGGGTTCCAAATGCTTTGAAATGGCAATTGCCAGCGACATCTGAGAGGAGATCTGGGGCATGCTACTGTCTAGTGGCAGGGGCACGGAAAAGAGGGCGCAGTTAAATAACTGAGCTGTGGGTACCCCTGTGGTCCTGGAAGCAAAAGACCCTCATCCAAGAAATATGCACGTGTTACGCACACACAATTGTTGTATATGATTTCAGGGGGTGCACACACCTCCAGAAGCTGTTCATGGGCCCCCTCGGGATCATGGTATCGGTCTCGACTCTAACTAGTTTAGAAAATGGTTCTGGTGGAGAGCGGATCGGATGAGAGACTGCAGGAATAAAGCTGATTCAAAAGAGCCTTGTCCTTGCCTCAGTGCTCCCAGTTTCTCGGAGCTCCGTCCCTCCTGCCCTTCCCACCTGGGCCCCACTCCATGCACTCACCTGCCCGGGCTCTCTGTCTTCGCCTGGGTCTGGGTGCTGAAGTTGCTGTGACTGATCTGCTTCTCTATCAGGTGTTCCATCCGCTCATGCATCTCTAAATTCTGTAGTACAAGTTACGGGGTTAGAATTGCCCTTTCTCTGGATTGCCGTTTGTTCACATTCAACGGGCTCATTCCAGTCTCTCCACCTCTGGGTATGTGTGGCTGCTGGTGCCCCCAACCCTTCCATCCCCGCCCCCGCCAGGACGCCCTGTCCCCTTATCTGTTACTCCTGACGGCTCTCTTCCTGCAATCTCTGCTGCAGCCTCCGTCCTCAAGAATGTTCTCCCGATAACTGTGCAATGCCGATCATTTCCTATACATCTTGTATATGCTACACTTCCTATAGCCAGCTCAACTAGTCGCTTGACCTTGCGATACTAGTTTATAAAGTATGCGTCTTTTAGAAAATATTTTTAAATTTTAGGTCTTTTTTAGAATACTTATACGCATCTATTTTTATATTCTTCCTATGTGTTTTTGTTACGGTTTTTTTCTTATTTTATTTCCAACTCCAGATGGCAAACTTCCAGAGATAACAAACACCCCTGCCCCCCGTTTCTCTCCCGCAATGAGGGGTCATCACACAGTGGCAGCAGAGCCCCCTTCAGGCGGCTCCACGGCCAGCTCCCGTGCAAAGCCCACAGGGTCAGAAGGAAGGCCTCGCCTCCAGGCTGCCTCGGCCCAGGGCTTGTACTGTGAGGATACATCCCCATAGTCAACAACTCCCTGAAGGTTCCCAGCTGAACCGCAGATGAACCAGCCATCCCAGACACTCACTTCCCAAGGCCCCTGACTCACCTCCCTACGTGGGACCTTCCCTTCGAGAGCCCCGCTCCCCTGCCGGGAGCTCCCTGCACACACACCTCAGCCTCCAGATAGGCGACTTTCTCCTTGAGCTCCTGAATGGTCGTGTCCTTTGACTGGATCACAGCTTTTGAATTCTGGAGCTGCAAAGGCGGGGAGACGTGGGAGCTCATCGTGAAATGACTCAGCCCAAGCGCGTGGAACTTCGCCCTGATGGCGGAAGGAGCCGGCAGAGACGGCACGCGGACCTTTGCACTTGTCCCATGGTTTGCTTAGCTTTTCTAGAAAAGCCATCTTTTAGCCAGTATTAAACTCTTGATTATTCTAGGGGCAGGAAGGGAATGTGAAAGGGACATCACCCTGATACTCCAAAATAACGGGAGGATTCAAAAACCATTCCATGTGGGTTTGGGAAATACAAATTATTACTCATTCAAGAAATATTCATTGGAGAGCTTACTATATGACAGGCCCAGTTCTAGATGATAGGAAACAGCAGTGAACAAAACAGATAAAACCCCAGCTCTCACGGAGCTGACGTGCAGCAAACGTGCCCTCTCAGGGGTGAAAACGGTTAACCCACTCAGCTACTAACCAAGACTGGTAGTTCGAGGTCACCCAGAGGCGCCTCAGAAGAAAGGAATGGAAATCTACTTCTGAAAGTAGACAGTTCTACTCTGACACACCCGGGGTGGCCGTGAGTTGGAGCAGACTCAACAGCAACAGTTTTTTTTTTAAGTTCTCGAAACAATTCTGCAAATGGGCACATCCTGATGTACTCCAGCCTAAAGCTCAGGTGGTGGAAGACAGAAAATGTGCCATGAGGCACAGACGCTGCTAGTCTGTCCGGACATAACCGAGTTTCCCGTCACTCAGTTACTCATTGACAACACTCTTCACGGAACAGATGAGAGACTAACCTCTTTCTTATTTTCACACTGGAAAGCAGAAGCCAACGGCCAAAAAAGTAGGAGCCAAGATGGGAGAAAAGCAAATCCCAACAACCCAAACTGACAATCGGTAGCTGCAGATGTTTTATGGGAAGCACCTGAGAACAAACCCAAACTCCCCAGGAGAGTAAATGAATAAGCAGAGGCTTGTATCCGACAGGAAATAGGGCTACACTCATGCGGCGACCTCAGAGAGAGCAGCCCCGGCAGGCTAAGTTCTGGCCCTCTTACCTGCTCTATCATCTGCCGAACTTTCCGCTGCTGACTCTTTAGCATGTCGTCCAGGTGGTGGATCTTCTCCCGCAGCCCGGCCACCTCCTTTTCCAGGCTGGCAGCCCTGGGGACAAAGACCGGAAGGCTGAGGCCGGGGGAAAGGTGCCTCGTCTACCCAGTCGCGGGAAGAGCCTTGGGCGTGGGGGGTTCCCATCAGGTGTGACTCCCTCTATCTGATCCCCAAGGGTCCGCCCTAAAGAACGGCTGGTGGGACACTTCAGAACATCACGTGGGAGCATCATCAGAGGTCATCTACAGTCCAAATGAGGAAAGTGAGGCTCAGGAAGGTTAGGAAGGATACATCATTCTGGATAGCTCCAGACAGCAAGAGCCAGTGGGTAGATGTTCCAGGGACGCAGCTTTTTTTTTTTTAAATTGTGCTTTAGATAAAGGTTTATAGAGCAAATTAGTCTCTCATTAAACACTGGTTGCCAGCCCCATGAAGTGTCAACACTCTCCCCTTCTCGACCTTGGGTTCCCCATTACCAGCTTTCCTGTCCCCTCCTGCCTTCTCATCCTTGCCCCCGGGCTGGTGTGCCCTTTAGTCTCATTTTGTTTTATAGGCCTGTCTAATTTTTGGCTGAACAGTGAACCTCAGGAGTGACTTCAGTGCTGAGTTAAAAGGGTGTCTGGGGGCCATACTCTCGGGGTTCCTCTAGTCTCTGTCAGACCAGTAAGTCTAGTCTTCTTTTGTGAGTTAGAATTTTGTTCTACATTTTTCTCCAGCTCTGTCCAGGACTCTCTGTTGCGATCCCTGTCAGAGCAGTCGGTGGTGGTAGCCGGGCACCATCTAGTTGTGCTGGACTTAGTCTGGTGGAGGCTGTGGTAGTTGTGGTCCATTAGTCCTTTGGACTAGTCTTTACCTTGTGTCTTTGGCTTTCTTCATTCTCCCTTGCTCCAGATGGGGTGGGACCAGTGGAGTATCTTAGGTGGCTGCTCACAAGCTTTTAAGACCCCAGATGCTACTCACTAAAGTACAATGTACACATTTTCTTTATGCCAACCGAGCTAGATGTCCCCCGAGACCACGGTCCCCAGCCCTCAGCCTAGTAATTCGGTTCATCCAGGGATGTGGTTTTTATATTAAAACAGGGAAGGCTGTTCTCAGGATGAAAGTTGTCAGAAGGTGGGCTGCCTCATGTGGAATGAGCTCCCTGTTACTAGAAAGATTCAAGTAGGAGCTGGGATTATTTATACCCAGTACCATCAAGCTGTTTGCAGGGATTTTACACCAGGAGGGAGACAGGATTTGAGGATCCTTAAAGCCACTTCACACAACTGTTTCTCAGTCTCCTGATTCCCAGACCGTGGCTGTTTCTTTTGCATCTTCTAAGCAAACTAGGCCGCGATCGTCAAAGGTCAAGCCGCCAAGGACAGCGTCCAGGAGCTTCTGAAGAACTCCTGGTTCCACTGACCCTCCAGTTCCATCTGAGGAAGCTGACAAGTGTGAGCAAGATGGCCGGTGCTCGGCTTCAGGGTGGGGGTTACAAGGCAATCTGAGCAGCCAACATCCTTCCTACACTTCAAACATTCTAGGTTTCCACCCTTGGCTCTCCAATATCCCTACTTCTCAATCTCCTTTTACTGAGAAAATCGGCATTTGTAAAGCATTCTCCCCAGGCCTGGTTTTGGACAATCTGGTCCTTTCTGGTTCTCCTGCTCCTCCCCTCTCTTGCTCATGAGCGGCTTTATCACGGAGGACGAGGGAATGCTGAGCAACTTCAAGTAATTCTCATACGAAGGCGAGTCAGGAAGGGGGCTAGAATAAGGCGTCTGCGTCTCCATGTCAGGCTGGCCTAGATGTAGTTTATCCCCAAGAGAAAATGTCCCCAGAGGACTGAGGGGTCCCAGCACCCAAGACAACGCCCAGGCCTTAGAAGGTCCTTTACCTAACGTCTGCTGAACTACAGAAGGCCCAACTCATACGATGAGGATCAGACCCAATATGCTGACGTTAAAGCAAACCGGATTTATCATTTAAGATCTTATTTACTTGCCAACAGCATAAAGAATTTCCAAATTCCTGAAGGTCCACAATGGCCCAGTCTTTGCTCTGTAAGTTCATTGGTTCGGGGCCTCTGATCATAGGGATTCTGCATAACTCGCTAACCTGGGAGTTAGTAAAGATCTGAGGTCCCCTGGATGCCACTGCTGATGGGTGGTTCTCGGTTTCTATCCGAACTGCTTCAAGTAACAGGAAGCTCAGTCTCTCCTCATGAAGCTGCTCATTTTAGTTTTTATTTTTCATCAGCAGGACTCAGAGGAAGTTATTCGAATTTTACTTTTAACTGGTTTACAGTTGGACTTTGTCTTTGTGGGGAGGAAGCTGGGGTGGAACACGTCAAACACAGTAATCTCCAGCAGATGCTGGGCCAGCCGCTCGACCTTGCCGTCTGTCTTTAATACTAACCTAAAGGAAAATCCATAAAGGCCTTTTCTGTAGGTTACGACTCCATGGAAAGTGAACTCCCCAGAGATGGCAGCCTCCCAAACAGTATCTCCCTGGGCGGACCGCCCCACCTCCCTGGCAAACATGTTGTGAGTCATGGGTGGAAGATCTGACCTCAGCACCAGCTGCTTCCCCGTATCGGGCCACCACCAAAGCCGCAGCCTGCATGGCCCACCTGCCCCAACCTGCACCCTGACTTCACAGTGAACAGGGCCCTTACTTTTCCCGTTCTGCCTGGCAGGCAGCGCTCTGGCTGCGGACTTCCTCCAGGGCCATCTCCCCTTCCCGGACCTTCGCCAGTAAGGTCTGATGCTCCTGGGTGGGCCAAAGGAAGGACAGTCTGGGCTGAGAGAAAGGCAGCAGTTTCTGTATTTGGTGTGAGATGGGCACCAGGGCTGAGACTCGGCCTCTGTGGCCCGGATTGCTGCCAAAAAGCAGCAGGCCAAGCTGGTTTGGTGGGGAACCCTCCCCTATCAGGGACAACCCTCCCCACCCTCAGCACACAGAAACTTCCCACCCAGCCACCCGGAGGGAGAGCCTGGCCTCCCATTACTCAGGCCCACCTGCCAGCTATGGCTGCCAACCCTGAGCAACCAAGCTGAATGGATTCTTAAGAAGCCTTTCAACCCCAAAGGGGCAGCTGTATAAGAACCCAACTAAAATGGAAATGGGTTCAGCCCTAGTTAGGGAGAGCTGAAGTTAGACAAGAGAAACACCTTCCAGTTCCTCAAAGGCCAGTGGAAGCTGTGAAGCGTCCTTTTTGGCAGCTGCTTGGAGAAGGCAAGGCCCAGCAATGGTCTCAGTCAATCCTAGGCCCCTTCCTGCCCGGGAGCCGAGGGACTGAAAAGCTGGACACCAACAGTTACCGTCTCCATCTCTGACAAGCGCCTCTGCAGGTCTGCGATCTCCGCCTTTTTCTGTTCTACTTTGTCCTCTTCTTTCTGAAGGGCCACGTTACTCTCTTCAGCTTCTCTCTGGTACCGGCTGAGCGTGACCTACGACGCAGGATAAAACCCAAACCAAACCCATGGCCATCAAGTCAATCACGACTCACGGTGGTGCCATGCGTTACAGAGGAGAACTGTGCTCCAGAGGGTTTTCTTGGCTGGAATCTTTACACAAGCAGATCACCAGGCCTGTCTTCCGTGGTGCCACTGGGTAGGTTCAAACTGCCAAACGTTCAGTTACTAGTCTAGTGCAAACCGCTCTTGCCTCCCAGGGACCCCAACCCAGGATAGGGATGTGTTGGTTGGGAGGCGGGGGAGGAGGAAAAGCAAACAGAGATACAAACATTAGAAAAGAACCCAAGAACGGGGTGTGGGGGGCCTCTGGAGCAGTGATGGGGGAAAGGAGGCAACTCTGATGAACACACGGTCCCTCCGGTGCTCTGCTCTAGGATACCTCAGGGGACTTGAGCGGAGACCTCAGGCCGATTCCCAGGGCTGAGCGGCACAGGGCGGATCGAGTGCCACTTTAACATGACACCTGGCACCCACAAGCACCATTTTTCAGATGGCTGAACTCTTCAGCATCCCCAGGAATCCTCCAATGCCCGCCCAGTTTAACCAAATGATGTGGCTTTTTTGAGAATTTAAAAGCAAATCATCCAGGAAGATATTTCCGTGTCCTCCTTTTCGTTCCCCCAGCTCTTCCTCACCCTCACCCTCACCTCAAGTAATGTGTCAGCCTATGTGCAAAGGCCATGATGGAACACGGAGGGGCTACCACGCATCAGGAAGAGTTTGTCTTGTATCGAAGATGAGACCAGTGCAGAAAGGATAAAAGCAGGATTGTAGAATCAGAAAGACCCTCTCACTTGCCTCCTTTCCTCCAACCTGTGTCTTGCCAATGCCCACTCATCCTTCAGGTCTCAGCTCAGATACCCCTTCTTCCAGACACCCTGCAGAGCCTTGGGGTGGGGGGGTGCCCTTCCTTTCTGTACCCACAGAGAACACACGCTCCTTCCTCTCATAGCACGTACTGCATTCTGCCTGGTTACCTGTGTGCGCGCCCCAGGAGACTGCCAGCCTCATCGTGGCGAAGACCTTGAGCCCCATTACATTTCCAGAGCTCAGCACAGTGCCTAGCACACGGTAACTGCTCTCTGAAATTGTGAATGGAATTGATCTTCATCTAGTCCAATCTCTTCCATTCACAAGTAACGGTCAACTGACCTACTCAAGGTTCACAGCTAGCAAATGAAGGAGCCAGCACTAGAATCCGCTTACTTCACCATCCATTCCAATCCTCCCCAATCACCCCGAACTGCCTCCCCAATCACTTTCTAAAAAACAATTCAGGTAACCACTGGAAAGCCTGGCCAGCCCTGGGAGAACAACCAGCAGCCAGTTTGCCCGGCTCCTCCCAGAGTCAGAATCAGGCAGGAGAAAGCCAAGCACAGGACGACGTGTGATGGGACGTGCCCGTGCTGCACACCAGCCCTGTTTACAGTAAACTCTCTGCAAATCCTTCCTGACAGTAGCAACCAGTAGAACGGGAAACCCAAGCTTAATGGCAGATTATTTTCACAGTAATTGACAATCCTGACCTCCCTACTCCCTGGTTCAGAAAAGTAACCTGTTGCTGTCAAGTCAATTTCAACTCACAGTGAGCCTACAGAACAGAACAGAACTGCCTAATGGGGTTTCCAAGGCTGTAATCTTTATGGAAGCAGACTGCCACATCTTTCTCTTGCAGAGCAGCTAGTGGGTTTGAACTAAGGCTTTGAACTACTTCAAACGGTTCAGTCATGGCTGATGGAAACAAGGGCAGCATATGTGTTGCATAGCAACCAAGGCTCTTGCCCATGGGATTTTGTCCCAAGTAGGAAACAGCACTGCCCTGCTCAAAGATGGCAGCTGACTGTACCACTTTGAATGTGTGTTGCTCTCCACATTCCTGCCAATAATCCAATCTCCCATATCAGGCTTCAGGAGCAGTTCATAACTGAACCATTTCAGACCTTCTCGAAGCCCTTGTTGAACCACCAACCTTTCGGTTAGTAGCCGAGTGCTTAACCACTGCACCACCAGGGCTCCTCTCCCCTAGAGTAAGTGCCCTGAATTTGGACTTCAGGAGCCTGGTGCAGGACACTGGATTATTGGCAGGAACGTGGAGAGTGACACACACTCAAAGCGGCACGGTCGGCTGCCATCTTTGAGCAGGGCAGTGCTGTTTCCTACTTGGGACGAAATCCCATGGGCAAGAGCCTTGGTTGCTATGCAATGCATACACTGCCCTTGTTTCCACTAGCCATGACTAAACTGTTTTGAACCAGTTGGAAGCCCTGGTTCGAACCACTGACCTTCTGGTTAGCAGCTGAGCGCTTAACCACTGCACAACCAGGGAGCCTTTCAGGAAAATAAACCAGAATCTAATTCACTGGGAGAGACTGAGAGAAGCCCTTGAATTGCTCACGCTAGCCTGAGACAGACCAGCCCGTGGGAAGGAACTTAAAGGCAAGGCCTCCCATTTCTGTACATCAACACTGTGCCAGGCTGATGTGTACTCAGAGGACAGTATGAACGGGGCCTTGGTGCCATCACAAAGTTCAGAACACAGACTTCCGTTCCACATCTGTCCCTGTAGCTCTAGCCAGCCTTGCCTCAGAGGAGCCCCTTCATCACAGGAGGGTGTGCCAAGCCATCCCAACAGTGAGAACAACCCAAGAAGTGCCTCCTATTGCAAGTGGAAGCTGGGCACCATGGGGTTAAAGGGAGCCCTGGTGGCACAGTGGTTGGGGGTTACAGAGCAGCCCTTCTAAACCCTGGCACGTGACTGTAGCCGTCGGGGCCTCGCGGCCTCGGGCCTTTACTGTGAGCGCCTGTGCTCACGCTCTGAAACGCGGCTGCCAAAGCCCGCCGTGTGCGAGTGGTCAAAACCAAGGACTTCTGAGATTTCCACAGTCCCATAATGCCTTTCCACAGGCATTTCCTTCCACAGTTCACAGCCTGGTCAGCATTACAGCCTCCATCTCCCCTTCCTCCTGTTCTGCTCCGAGAAGGTCGGAAGCGCTGGTTGCCAAACTGGTAGACTGCCATCCCAACTATCCAAACGGTAGACTGCCATCCCAACTATCCAAATGGTAGACTGCCATCCCAACTATCCAAATGGTAGACTGCCATCCCAACTACCCAAATGGTAGACTGCCATCCCAACTACCCAAATGGTGGAATTGGAAACAGATGCAGCAAAGTCCCTTTATCACACAGCTACTTCATTCTGAGGGCCTCAAATTAATCTTACTATTGTCCTAAGTCCAAAACATTTAGGATAGGAAAATCTGCCTGTTAAACTGATTACTAAGAAAAATATAGAATGTATTTCTAAAGCCCCTTAGAGTGATAAAGTACTCTCACTTGTATTACCTCACTCAATCCGTACACCAAACTTGCGAGGTATATTTCATGAACCCTTTTAACAAAGGTGGAAACAATGATCCAGGAGGTTAAATTATTTCTTCAAATAAAACTTCAACTCATCTAGGCACAGCCTGTCATTCTTAGTGCCCTTGGTTCGTACCCTCAATCCTCCTCCCAAACTCTCTCTCAGTCCCATGAAAAAGAAGAGTTCAGTCTGGCCTTCCTCTTTCCACCAGCTCCTGGTGTGCCTGAGCAGGAGATAATCCTATTATTACATACTTACAACATTAAAAAAGACTTTACGTGTGGATGAACGATAGCAGATGGTTCATCTCACACAGACTGGTTAGAAAAAACGCACCTCATGTTTGCCCAGTGAACCTCGTTTTGTACTCAAAGAATTTTCCGGAAACTATGGAAGACCTCACACCTTTTCAATAGCGGGGCGCTTTCACTCTTTACTTACGGACTTCTGTATTTTTTTAATCTTCTATAATAATACAGTATGACTTTTATAACAATAATTAAGATGCTCGTTCAAGGTCACAAAGCCTTACGCGGGAAAGCTGAGACCGGAGCTAAAGCCTCCTGACTCCATGGGCACGGTTCTTTCCACTACAACGCAGCTTCATCCATTCATCAGCCCGCATCTATGAAGCACCCACCTTAGGCCAAGTACTGTGTCAGACATTAGGGAGTCAGAGGTGAACGGGACAGGACCCGTCTCTCCCCACGTGGTGTCTGAGAGCCCAGTGGTCCTTACTGTGGTACATGCAGAAATGACTTCTGAACTCCCTGCCGTCCTAGACCTGTGCTACCACTCAACCTCACCAGAGCAGAGAATCAAGAGCTGACTTTTCAACTATCAAGACCAACCGTGGACAGCAATCACTGCAAGTGTCCAGGTGAGGGCGAAGACAGGAGGCGCCTCAGGCCCAAAGCCCTGCCTTTCCACCTGACGGCACCCAACCAGAAAGCCGCAAAGCCCACCGAGAAAGTCACTGGCACCTGCCCAATGACTCTCAGCAGCCCATCCCCTGGAGCACCTCCTGTCCAAACCACCATCTCACCTCGAAAGCCACCCGGTCTGACTGGTGCTGCCTCTCAACCTCCTGCAGCTTGGCGAGCAGGTCCCGCATGGTCTTCCTCAAGCTCTCGATGTCTTCGCTCATATAGCTGCCCACCTACAGTCAGAGCAAGGAAGAGAAGGTGAAGTCACTCTACTGTGACTTGGTAAGAGAAGGTCCGTCCACCCTGCACTGGTTTGGACCATCCTGACCAGACCACCCTGACAAAGATTTCACACACACGATGGGAGAGATCGTCTTGGGCACCGAAGCTCTGAATGGTCCATCTGAAGACATTCTCCCTTCCTACCTTAAAGAACTCAGCTGGTCTCAAACCACCAATCACCCAATTACTTTAGGACACCCTCAGTAATTCTGTATGCACGTATCAACTAACTGACTTGTCTGTCCTGCTTCCCTCCTTCCGACTAGAGCTCTCTGAGAGCAGGGACCACCACGTTCCCCTTCAGACAAGGGTCCCCCAAGGGCAGGGACTACGCCACACCCATCACAAGGGGAGAGTCCCAGAGGCACATCTTTTATTGTTCTTTGTGCTTAGCACACAGATAAGCACTTCAGGGTTACTGATGGATGGGCAGGTTTAGGACAAACACACACTAGCCCAGGTATCTGATTCCATGTAGGAAAAGGTGTCTCATCGAGGGTAACTGCTCAGTCTCTCTCCCAGACACACCCAGTCGTGGGCAGGTGGCTGGGCTGAGCTGGCATGTAAGGTCTCGCCCCCAACTCTGCTGCACAGGCCCCAGTCACTTCAGTTATGAACTCCCTGCAAGTCTGCCAGAAAAAGATTGCCCCATCTTGCAGCACCTTCAAACCAGAGGACGGGGCTCTCAGTTAGGGGAGGGAGACAGGGTCCCAGGGGTTGTGTTAGTACTGAGTCCTGCGTGCCTTCATTTCTCTCTCTGTGAAGCAGTGAAAAGACTCCTCACCCCGCCCTGCCTTACAGGTTGCCTCCAAACTAAGTAAGATAATATCCGGTAGGGCTTGGAGCTCAGGAGAAGAAAGGTGTCGATTAGATAATGCCAGGTGTTACTATAATTTGTTGCCAATACGGTGGTTCATTTGCAGGGAAGCATCCAAACTGCACACCTAAAGCCGATGGCTAGAATCACAACATTCTAACCCAGCTGTCAACAGCTGTCTGCTCCATTCCCCCATACACACGCCTAAGCCACTGGGCTGTGGAAAATGGTTTACAAGCCTCCGATTTCAAAGAGTGTTTTCCAAGACTATGTAATGCCATGAAATTTTTCATGAAATAATATGAAACTGAAGAAGCAAGCTGTAAAAGTAAAACTTGGCATATACCAGTCAGACAAAAATGAACTAGATTTTAACACAGGAACTCGGATGGATCTTAAAAACACAGCGTTGGGTAATGAAGGAAACGCCAGGGGAAAGATCCAGCGCAAGTCCATCAGGTAAACTGAAAACATACTTTACACTGTTCTTAGGTGCCATCGAGTCAGCTCCAACTCATAGCAACCCCATGTGACGGAGAGGAATCGCCCCATAGGGCTTTCTAGGCTGCCATCTTTATGGGAGCAGGTCGCCAGGTCTTTCTCCTGTGGAGCCGCTGGTGGGTTCGAACCACCAACCTTTCACTTAGCAGCTGAGTGCTTAACGGTTGCGCCACCAGGGCTTCTTACATATTGTACAGGCATGTCTAAAGTCCTATATCGAATATACCGGGAGGTAAAAGGAGGGAAGACCGGGAAGGAAAGGGCAAAAAGAAGAAGTAAAACCAGTGAGAGGCCTTGACGGCACCAATGGGGATACTGTGCCAAGAACCAATGGGAATGTCTGATTTAGTCCACTCTTGAGGGCCAAGTAACACAATCAAAAAAAACTCCCAGCCAACCAAGGAAATACAATACAAACAAAGGAACACTATATACGGTATAACCCCAGTATCGTAAATACATATTTGCATTAAAGGGAAGTTCACCAAACTGTGGTTTTCTCTGAGTAGATTACAACTGATATTCTTCTTCTTTCACTTTTCTGCTTCTGAATTTCCCGAATTTCCCACAATAAACATGTATTGTGTTATCTTATCAAGACACAAAATACAAAAGCAAACAGTACTTCTTAAAAAGTACAGCAACGGGGTATAGATTTTCACCAAAAAAAAAAAAAA